CAAAAGATAAAAGATAAAAAAAAAAATAAAAAAATAAAAAAAAGATCGTGGCATCGTATATGTGATTTCTTAATACACAGTGTAATTTGCAAGGTAGCTTTGGAAATTCCGTGGTAGACGAATGAGTAAAGTAAATTTCGTGATCAGTGCACGTCGTCGAGAAAACTTTTCGATTCAGAAGGCTTTTGTTCGTTGTCCACTTTTTTCGATTAATTTTCAAGTAATCCTTTTGTTTTATTTATTCACTATTTCTAAAATTACCTGTTGTGAAAATGTATTTAGGTTTTCATAAAAAAAAAAAAAAAAATCCAGAAACAGAAATGAATTATTATTTCTATAAAATCTACTTCTGTAGGTGTAATTGTCTTTGATAAAAATAAATCGAAAGTTATTTAATATATGTCTAAATTATTTTTTACTTCACTAATATCCTTTAATATTATGATTTTTTTATTTAACCTTTGGGAAATAAATCACTCATAGTTATCCTGCCAAATTGATGACCTTATGAGCACAGCGCTTCGTGTGGCCTATATGTTATATTTTTAAATAATTGCATTTTAAATTTTACTACCATCAAATCACCTTTACCCTTCGACGTAAACCTATGACCTCATGTCCCACAGTATCCTTTAATAATACCCCACTTATCCCTGTTGAACAAATCCGATACCTTGGAATTAACTTGGACAAACGTCTAACTTGGAATCCTCATACCAGACTGAAACGACAAGAAACCGCTCGACGTTTCCGACTACTCCAACACTTACTAGACAAACGCTCTAAGCTTCCAGTAAATTACAAAAGACTTATATACATGACTACAATAAGACCTATTTGGACTTACGGAGTTGAGCTTTGGGGTTCCACTAAGCCATCGAATTCCTCTCGCATCCAATCCTTACAATCCAAAATCCTTCGGAAAATCCTCAATGCTCCTTACTTTGTCACCAATAAAATAATCCATAATGACCTTAATGTTCCTTATGTTTCCGATTTGGCCCAATCCAGATACCAATCTTTCCATAATAAACTTCAGAACCATCCGAATCCTCTCGTCTCTAACCTTGCTTCCTCTTCTATTCCTGATAACCCTCCGAGGCGTCTGAAAAGAAGATGGCCTCGAGATCTCTTATTGTAAATACATTTTGTTTTTAAAGTGCTACCAGTGGGTAGTTTCTCAACAAGTCATTTCATGTTTTTATTTTCTGTTATCAAATTTACTTAATGTATTTAATTTTTTAATACAGTTGTAAATATCATGTATAAATAAATAAAAAAAAAAAAAAAATTTACTAAAACATGAGGAATCCCATTGATCCATTCATTCAAGCATTAGTTTACATTTTAAATACATAAATATAATAATGATTCGTTCAATAAGTAATTGTTTCTATTTTTAAAGGTTGTGAATAATAATTTTAATGTTAGTTATTTATCTTTAAAAAAATAACTGCTTCAAAAGAAACTGTTACATTTTTTTTTTAATTTTACGAACATAAAAACATGCGTCCAGTTATTAATTGTGACATAAGGCATATTTCAAACATTATCCGATAATTAGTTCATTGTATCAGTACCCTGGCGGTAAAGAATACCATGTTCTTGTTTGTATTTGTTCAGGGGAGAAAATTTTCCCATAACTTTGAGCTAATAAAGTTTGTTTCTTATTTAATAAATTAATTAATAATGGTAAAAATTATTTAATAATTATTAAAATGGACATGGTGTCCTTCAACTCCGGGCACTGATATTATCTTTCTTAATCAATTGTTCCTTTTTCATGTTGTACCAATATATCCTTATTTTCATGTTGTATTATTAATATTTCTTTTTCTTTTTTTGCGTTTATTTTTTCCCTGAAAACCTCATTATGTTGAAACCAGTCCTCTTGGAACTGTAGCATGTCAGCTAAAATTAGAACTGCACTACTTTAGAAGTATAGCGTGGAAATTAAGGCAGTGCTGTTTCAATTTCAATACCAAACAGACGGATATTCATATACAATTTGAATAAAAAAGGAATAGTTTATAACTGTTTTATTATTATTATATCTAAGGACAGAATACCCTTCCTTACAACTTTTTGGGATCTTTTGCGTAGTACTCATGATTTTCTGCGGCGACTGATTAAAATCGTTCTCTGTAATGATATCGAGTCCTGTTTCCCTCAGCAGTTTAGCCCTTAGTTCCTCAATAGGCTGATAGATTAGATACTGTATATATGGCTCAGGATCAGTTAAGATTGTTTCTGAGCCCTTTCTTACTGGGCCATCGGCTTTTTAATTTCCTTTTTTCCTGATCCCGTTTCTCGTATTCCACAGAATGGTAATTTTTTTTTTACCTTAGATAATTGCTTTAGAATATTAAGGCCATAGGGGAAGAACCGCGGCTTTCGAGGTCACATGGGTCCTCTGTGATGTATCCAAAAGTTTTTGCGAGATATTTATCAATCTAGCGCTAAAATTAATTTATATTTAATTATTAAGTAACGACAATTTCGATATTAATTTATTTATCTAGAAATATAATCTGTCTCGTGGAAAATAATTATAGTGATATATCCATATTCGATATTAATAGAATTAAGTTTAATGTATGTATGTGGGTGTTTGTATGTAGTGATAAATAATTATATCAACGGTAAAATATAAAGAATTGTTGCGACCTCCATTAGCAGTACCTTACCTTACTGCGGCATCTAATGATAAAAACGTTTCCCACCAATGATTTAGGCAATTCCAGACTAGCCAGTGAAGGAATTGAGTCTTTACTACTGTCAAGATGTCTGTTATTATTTGTATTAATTTCCCTTTTGGGTTCATATTTAAATATTCTAGAGTTGCTATTTTTATCTTGCATATTTCAGTTCGGAAGCCTGTAGAGTAGCCAGGATCTTTTTGCAATTGGCCCAAATATTGTAGTTCCTTGCATTTCCTTCTTTTACAGAACCCTCAGTGGTTGTTTATATAAAAATTATAGGAGTGAAGTGAGTCATTTCAACATAGAATATTGAAAATATGGAGTAATGACGGCTTCATATTCCTTAGACAAGAAATCAATTACTATCAGCGAGGTGTCTATTAACACTCTTATGGTGGTGAGATGGCAGATTAGTAAAAATAAAATACTTCAATCCGAATTTCCTCGTTTCGTTATGCTAATATTTTGAAAATTATTATCACTGATTCAGTCATTTTAATTTCTTAATCAGAAAAATCTTCTAAACATGGAATGTCTTGTGAAATAAATGATGTACAGTAAACCTCCAATCCTAAGGTTCTATATCTATAAACAATTCAAGGACTGCAACTAATCGAAGAAATATTTCCTTGAATCGTTTCTTCCAACTCGTTTAGATCTGAATCCTTTGTTCGTATTTGACGAATTCTTGATGAAAACATTCGTTATTTAGTTGATCGTACAAGATATAATTTGTTTTTAAGTTCAGAACTTCTTTTATTTAATTTATTCATAATAAGAAAATATTTTGTTCAGTAAATAAAGTTTTATTTTTTACTTGTAATTAAGCTGTGTTTGTACTCACTTTGCAGCGGTTTTATCGCCTCTAAAGAATTATATTTTAAAAATATGTATGCTATTATTTTTAAACGAGCTTAACCGCAGTCCCTTTAACAGCTTTTCTGCTAATTACATTTTACTAGCTTCTATAAAAAGGATTATCTATTATTAATTGTTTTAACAAGTTATTAACTTGACAATTAATCACCAAATTATACTTTGTGCATTGCTAATTTATTTTTTTTAATTTTATAAAACAAACTTATTGTTTAACTATCGTTATCTATTGCAATGGTTTAATCTGTGTTATGATATTCTTAATATATAAGGGTAATATAGGGGTGCTCATCCTACCATTTCTGAGTATGTTAAACATCCTAACAGTGTTAAATTCGAAAGTTATTTAACAATTGTGTACTAAATACGGTTACTCGCACTCTCATCTTAAACGTAGTGTGGATATGTCAATATTTGTCAATTCGTAAACGTATCGATAACGTTAATATGGGAAAGGTATTAGGCCCTCCGCTCACGAGGCGAAAAAACTCGAGAACTGTGCGTCAAACTCGTCAAAATTCGCTTAATTCGCCAATACAAAGAGTCGAGATACACTCGAACTGTGCTTCTTATGCGATTTTAGCTACAATATATATGTATATTAGTACTTTTTAATATCGGGAATGAAGACTTTGTTTTTCAAACTTAAAACAATTTTTAGGCAATGCAGAAGTAGACGAAAATAAGAAAATAGTGTAGAAAATTTTCCAAATTTTCATTCGTTTTCCCTCTTTTATTACGTGAATGGACGCTCGGTTTTTCATCGTCCCAACAATTTTCCAATTGTTTAGAGTTGAGCGAAAATGGGGAACAAGTGCAAAACTTTTCCGAATTTGCATTCACTTTTCTCCTTTTATCTCGGGAATGAAGCTTTGGTTTTCTAGTGTAATAACCTCGTGAGGTTAGTTTTCATCTCGTGTTAAATACATTTATTTAAATTCCCATAGTTAATGATTGTTTCATACTTTTCAAATGGAATGCAATGAAAAATTAGAAAGAAAGAAAAAAAACCTTAGACGAAATAGGACGTAATAAGCAAAATTAATTGTTATGGGGAGTTTTATATTAAAAATAAATCAAACGTTATTAAATCAATTTTAAAAATAAATCAAACGTAATTAAACCAACTTCGAATAAAAACTCACAAACTTTGTTTACGAAACAAACATAACTTTACTATTGGTAGTCAGTAATACTTTTACACATTATCACAGACGAGTAGTTTACTCAAAATTTATGCAAACTGTTAAGTAAGAGAATATCGAACATTTATCGCAAGTTGCGTCAATAACCTTATTATCTTTTATCTTTTCAACAGTTTAATTTTAGTATTATTTTTACCCTCTATTCCTTCACTTTATCTTCATAAACTTATTAATTATGTTATTTTAATTGTTGATTCTACGTTTATTAAAATTTCAGATGAAACGGAAGTAGAAAGTACTGAAAATTCTCCAGTTCGTAAACCAGGTACTGGCGATACAGTTAAAGGTATGTTCAATTTGTTGTTGTAATTTGTAAAAATAATCATTATTATTATAAAAGAAATGTTTTCACTTCACCAGAAAAGTTTTTTAACGGTAGATTTAAGTATATATTTTTAATAATGTTTCTTTTCTGTATAATAACGTTTGTTTTAGTTATTTGTGAAAACATCGAAAATTTATCATTATCATTAATTATAAATTTATAATTTTATTACTGTTTTATCAACCCTTGCTGGTAATACCAATAATTATTATTTTTATATAGCCATTCTCATCAACCATCTATTTACAGTTTTTTTTTTATTCAGTAATATACACATGGGCAATGGCTATAAGGAGAAAAGAGTACATTCACACCATATATACAGAAAACATAAATAAATAAAATAAAAGAGAAGCAGAATGACTTCTAGGTAGTAAACAAAAAGTATATAAAATAAATATGAGTAAATTAAGACTTGAAAAACATTAAAAAAAACAACAGACATACCTGTATATACCATTTAAATTCAAGCTAGGAAACTTCGAGACAGGCTTGAAATAATACAGTAACTCCTGCTCTTCCCTCCATAGTTAGAGGGAAAAGCTGGTCTTAAGGAGATCCCTGCGCTACTCTCCCAACCGTATCACTGGTATTAAAGCTTGCGCTGAGCGAGAGCTCTTTAGCCACATACACTCATGTCTTGAGTGGAAAATCTGACCTTCGCTTCAAGTCCTATAAGTCACTGCCGTTTCTAGCTTCTTGAAGGATTATAGGGATGGGTGATGCTCTAGAGGATTGTGTGAGATAGGGATTTTGCAAGGGGATTTGGATGATACGTAAGGTTCTGGTGAAATTTGGAGAATTTCTCTGGGATCTAGGGGAAATGGGATATTGTGGTCATGGTGTAGGGTTTTGTTCGTTACATAAAATGGGGCATTTACTATTGTTCGACGGACTTCGGACTGGAACGATTGGATACCATCCAAAGTTTAAATTTGTTTGAATAATGATATATTTATAGTGCATTTATGTTGTCAGCTATCCATATAATTTCATAACATTTTACAATTTAGTCTTTTCTTTATCTCCGCAGTGTTCTTTATAGTGAAACCCGTTTAAGAACCGTCCTTGGGGGTTTGAGGATTGTGGAAGCTTTGTGTTACGTAAAGGTTTTGTAACCGGAAAGCTTTTACAACTAAATTGCCTATTCCTACCAATCCTCTAAATTTATTTATATCGGATCAGATTTTTATATTATCCAATTTATTATAACCCTGCGAATTAATGGATACATTTAAAAAAAAAATTACGTGTAATAAACTTTTTCGTAACTTTAATTCGATACAGACGATGTATTGATGTAGGAAGGATTTTGAGAATAGTTTTCTTTTGGAAGAAAGTTGCCTATGGAATTAATCAATTTAATCCTTATTGCACTGTTCTGTTGGATATGGTTATTAAAAAAGCTAAAATAAACAAAAACAAAAAAAAAACAGAAATAAATAAAACATAAAGGGAGATAAATATTATTTTCTATGGAAGATCTCTTATTATTATTTTTTTCTATCTCCACATCATATTATTTTCTTCGTTGTATGCTTAATTATGTTGTGGCCATGTATATCAATTATTATAAAAATACTTTTTAAACTTTTGATGTAAAATGTAATGTCTCCATATTTTATATGATCTGAATTGGCTAAAAATTGAAGGATTAGATTATTTTTTTGCTAGTTTATAGAGACCTAAGTCTTTGTTTTGTAATTTTATTTAAAACGGATTTACCTCAGTTATTATCTGTTTGTTGTTAAATCGCGAAAGATTACAAGGATCAATGTTTTTGATAAAACTTTAAAGGTACGTTAATATATAGCTATAGTTATGATATATATATAGAGAGAGAGTTATATATATATATCAGAGTTAGTAGATATATATTGGTTAATATTTGTGTTATAATCCATTGTGTAATTGATTCTTGCTTTATTATTTGCTGACTGAGTTACTTGGGTCAGGTCAGTTATTTTACGTGATAAATGTCCTCGATTTTTATTTTTCATTTTTTTTTAGCTTTCGCTCTCTGTTCTTATTATATGTATTATTTACTATTTTGGGGTTATATGTAAATAATATTCGAATTTTTTTTATCAAAACTATACTAAAGGAGTCATTTTAAAAGAGCTGTGTGTTATGTTTTGATTCGTGTATTGCATTAATATATCGATTGATTGCATTTATGCTATGTGTTAATTAGGAAAAAATAAAATAAATGAATGGAGGGTGTTTTTACTTTATACTGACTTACTTTGTACGTTTCTTATTTTCTTTTTGTTACAAACAATATCTAAATTATTTTTACAATTTACATTGGTGTACAAACCTTGTACATCGCGAAGGATCGTAGTAGTTGGAGATCTGTTCTATATCTTAACTACTTCAATCCCCACTTGACTCGCACTGGCTTATGCAATGCTTGTTGGTAAATTTTCATCTTGAACAATCTTCTTTGCTTCTTTATTTGCTGAATCCTCTGATTTTTGTTTTCAACTGATCTGAAAAATTCTTCTTATATTGGTAAATAAAATGTGTGGTTTATAGAATATCGTCTAAGACGAACAAGTTCGATGTATTTGATTGCCTAAACGTTTTGATATTGAGAGTATTAAGTATGAGGCAAAAAAGAAAAAAAAAGAAGATTATTCATTTTTAAATCACCAGAAGTCATTACTTCTATGTCTCCATCCTTTACCATTTTTGGTACATGAGTATTACAAACTAAATATATTTTTATTTTTTTTTCTTACTAAATACATTTAGAAAATATGTTTTTTGAAGTAGTTTTTTAAATATTGATTTTTAAAAAAATCTATATTTCCTGAAACCGATTTCTCTATGTTCTTAACGAAAAAAGTGCTTGCATCTTTTTGATTGCTCATTTTAAAGTGTATAATTTGCCATGTGAGCAGATGTTATTTTCACATAATTTTATTTTATTTCCAAGTTTCGAATTTGGAAAATATCAAAATCCGTCTATTTACATTAAATATATATACATGCATACATACTTGTTATTCAGACCGATATTGGTTAATTCCAAATTTCAAGATGATGAAATGATATAATGAGTAAACAAAATTTGAATGTTAAGTAGATGCTGTATGATTTATCGTATAATAAGAAAGAATAGTCTAATTTTTACTTTATTTTTTAAAATGAAGATGGTCTCGTGATCTCCTCATGTAGACAAATTATTAGAGTGGTACCAATGGGTAGTTTCTCAACAAGCGTGTTTCACGTGATAATATTCCTATGTACACATTTACTTGATGTATTCATACTAATACAGTTGTAAATATCATAATAAAAGTTAAAAAAAAAAAACTTTTAAAATATTTATCCAGCGTCCTTAGATTAAACATTTTTTTAATATTAAGAAAACATAATATAGTTTCAAGAACTTAATTTTAATTGAATTTTATTTTTGAAATTTGGATTTTAAAATTCGCATAAACACTATTTTCGATATGAAAAAACGAAGTAAAGGCTTCTGAACCTCTTTAGGTCTCTATAGATATTGACTTGTTAAAAACTTACATCTGTAAAAATGGGGCCGCTAGGAGAAGGTTTCTAATTCCGATAAGTATAGTCTAGAAACGAGCCTTTCCGGTCAAACCAGTCCACCTGGTTGAGACCCTAATCATTTGAATGATTACCGGAACAGAATTAACTGCCAAAGTTTTTATACTATCCTCGGCTCACAATTATTCTTTACTTTCGCTTACCTATATATATATATATATATATATATATATATATATATATATATATGTAATAGTAAAGGGAAGTGTTGCGATCGTGAAAATTTTCGAATCTGTTTTCAACGGAAATAAACGTTTTGAGGTCTCCTGAGTCCAAATCACAAAGTTCCGTAAAATGGTCTGTGAACAGTCTAGCTCAAAAACGAAAAGTCGTACGAAACTGATATTACGTATTTAAGATAGGTATATGACTTAGATGTCACAGCAACTTTCTCCTTTAAATCGGCTAACCGGGAGTGCCACTTTATATCAACGATAAAGCATATTTTTACATTTTTTTCAAATCGGCTCCAACGATTTTGATTATGCTCGGTGTATCATTGTATAATTGAGCGATCTTTAATACCATTTAGGTCTTATCTCCATTGATGTCACTTTACAGGGCTTAAATGCCCAATGCTCATAAATGTCTTCCTCTAAAGTTCCTTTAACATGGTTAATTTAAAAAAAAAAACTATTTTTATTGACAGCTAAAATGGCTAAATATTAAATTTAAAAGAATATGACAATTAGAAAATTAGAAGAGAAAAAAGGAAAAATACTTATCCAGTTCGAAAATAAATCTCAGGAAATAATAGTCAGAAGGTATACGTATAATATATCGTTGGAAAGCGGAGAATTTTAGAAATAATAATATAAAATAAACAAAGTTGTAGAAGGTAATGGAGAGTGACGAAAAAATATATATTATAATTTCTGAAAACTAACATTATTTAAGGTAAATCACATGCTTTCAAGGAAATTAAATGAAATTTTCTTATAAATGTAAACTGTATACACTTTTTTTTTAGTTTTGAAAATATTAAGATGTCCAATCACCGAAATCAGTATTTTTGGCCTTAAATATTGTTGCCTCTGAAAAGCTGGCATAGCTATTTGGCCCATGGCACTCTAGTTCGCTGAAGGATTCAGAAATTGTGTTTATTTATTTTTTTCAAAATCTACTGAACTGAATTCGATACATATTTGTGAGGTATTTTTTGAATAATTTAGATTATTAACATTTGAAATTTTAATGATTTTACTAAACTTTAATGTGATAATTATCTTATGGAAAATAATTACTCGGATCTAGCTGTTATAAGATTTTTTTTTTAGTATATATTTAATTAAATTAAATTGAATTTTTTTCTAAGGAGTTAAGATAGCATATACATTTTATGCAGTATACATTGTAGGGTCGATTGTCCTGAACATGTTGAA